TGCATGCAGGTTCTTCATTATCACTCTGCAATGTATTTCCAGCTTGACCTGGTATCACCTCAGCAATTCCAGTCCCAGGGTATTGCACAGGACTGTATAAACAAAGACGTACAAAATGTGACTAAAGAGCAAGCCCTCTACACAAGTCAAACTAATCACAAATGGAAAACTCGGGACGTGAAAAACAAAGCAAAGTAAATTCCTTACAAGTAAATTCATACTCAAGTGCACAGAGATCTCCTCATACTTACCAGTTTATGACCAGATATTGTTTTTTCAAACTTGCCGTCGTACGCTCCCCAAATTTTAATGAGCTTGTCAGCAGCTGGAAAAGAATGTACCAGTTAAGAGACTAACAGCACCGACAGATACATCTGTCCTTTCTAGATGGCAAGAAATTAACTATGTCTCTGCATACAGCGAGTAGTTTTCCCTCCCCAGGCAGACGCTAGTGGATAAGGTCGTCTGTAACTGGTGAAGAATGGTTTCGTACACGCCACGCTGCAGCAGCTGAGATTACATAAACTGCCTGGAATGCACGGAGTCTCCAGCCACTTCAGTCTCTCTGATGACAACTTGGGTTTCTACTTTTGTTTCAGATTGCCAGTGGTAGAAGTAGTACTGTTCCACGAGGAATGCTGAAATGCTTTTGTCCAGAAAGAACAAAAGTGACATCACTACCTGGACTGAATTAACGTCTGTAACAACCCAAACATATTATCCATTTTAGCTCACAAAACAGGCCAGAGAAAAAGGTTGATATTTGCCAGAGGTAGAGGTTGGAAAACCTTGGGGTGGGGGAAAGGGTCTTTCTTTAGGATACTTGAACACAAGAAGGATTTATACACGGTGTACTGGCCTTATAAAGGCAATCTGCAGTTAAGCCAAAGACCTAAGTCATTCCCATGTCTGGAAGTTGTTTGACTGGCCCTCAGCATCATATTCAACATTGTTCTTTTTAATTGCCCTTTCCATATATATGGATCCTCACTGAGGGTTTATGTAAACACATTTTCAAAGGAAAAGCTGTCAAGCAGCATTAACCATCAAAAAAATTAAAAGAAATACCAAAGCTGTCAGGGAGAGAACTTGATCTACCACCTAAGAGAGCAAGTAGTGAAGCACTATATATAATAACATCTTCTGCACATTTCACTGGGGATAATCAAAGGCTCTGACTCACTGAACACCACAGGCACAGCGGACAGAAACACATGGCCAGTCCTTCATACCACGCTACAATCCAGTCTGGCTAGTGCAAAGCTATCTCCCTCAGCTCCCAGAACTACACTTTTGCCTGCAGGTACTGCACACAAAGCTCAAATCAAAAGCTTAAGCTGGAACTTGAGCGATACAGAAAGGCACAGGGGAAAGAATCCTGTGCTTGCTTTTGCCCACTTGCTCAGAAAAGAAAGCTGAACAGGAGAGGACTCTGATCTGGCAACACCTACAAGATCCAACATCCAAAGTAACAGAACTTAAAAGCCGAGAAGTAAATCATCCCAGAGATTGTCAGCTCTGGGACTGTTCCTTTTAGGAAGAACAATGACACTACAGCCCTCTTCCATTTGATGAGGGTAACAGTAAAGACAGGTAGCTCTCCAAGGCCCAAACATGCACGTTTTCAACAAGATAATAAGAGAGCAATACTTACAGGAACTGGCTAGCCACTCTCCGTTAGGACTGAACTTCACCGACGAGACTGCCTTTGTGTGTCCTGCTAACGTGAACTTTAGAGCATAATTTGGTTTTACTGGCGCGGGCTGAAAGAAAAATATGAATGAATGAGCTTAATAAACTCCCAGGAGAGTTTCACAGTCAGCACACAGTAATGGACTCCATGAGTATTCACCATAACACAGATTCTACTGTTTACATTCTTTTCCCTCTCCAAATTCAAAAAAAAAAGCAACATGCTGTCAGGAGTCTGTGGTGCCTTACTGCCCACGTGCAACACCAACTCATCCTCGACAACAATTCCATCCAAGCCAGGAACAAACAGATGAGAAGAATCCAATGGTCCAAGCACAAAATGCTTGGCAGATTAAAATAAAACTCTCAGTACTGATCTGTGTAGTGCTATTAAACATTTGTAGTTCTGTTCTTTGTTGCAGATCAAACCACAGGTCAACTCCCCCAAAATCCCACTTTTTTCCACTATTTCACCATTTGTGAAGGCTTCATGGTTAGACAGCAACATCTTCTTTCAGCATCTGCAGGCTTCAAAGAATCTGACTAATGCCTGCTTTCCCATTTTGCAACTAAGACCACAAATTCACCAGTTCTACAGCCATCTCTAGGCCTTCCAAAAATACAAACCACCTGAGCTTTTAATGCTCACAGTGACAAGAAGTATTTCCTTAGCAAGAACTTAAACAAACAAATCTAGTGCTACAAAAGAGGCTGTTTTTATCCACCTGCTTTACCCACAAAATCCTCAGCACGTTTTCATCCCCAGACGGCAGCAGAAGCAGACATCTTGAGAAGTTCTTAATCTACATTTGATTCAACCCTCTAATTCTGGTTTGCCTGGCGAACGTGCAGGTAGTTGCCATGTGCATTTACACAGACATTGTTCAGCCCCACACACACCTTGCTCTGATTGGTTGAGGAGGAAGGAGTAGATTGTGTTTTGGTGGATTCTGCATCTGGCTTCTTTTCTTCTGTTGCCATGGTTCTGAAGCTGGCAAATGAGACTTACGGTGCTTGAAGGGGAGAATGAATGTGCTGCTTCAAAAGGCAGCCCTTGCCACAGAGAGCAGAACCGCACTGGTAATGAAAACCTGGAAGAAAAACAAAATATTCTCAATAGCTGTCAAAGAAAGATCGTCAGCAGCTAAAAGAATGAGGTCAGCCTAACTGCAGATCTCCAGAAAACAGCGTGTAAAACTTATCTATAATCTTTTGTACAGATATGTATATCTTTTCAGCAACATAGCAGTATTTTATGTCTTCAGGTCTATTAACGTGCAAGACCAAGAGTCCAACTCATGGCCTTTTATTACTTCTTGGACAGCATTTTTCACTCTGCTCTGTTCCAAACACAAATCATTAGAAATAAAGCAGAATAGCTCTTCGGTGCAGTGGGACGGTTCATATCATATTCCCCAAAATACTTGTAAGAAGAAGTACTTGCATAGCACAGCAAATACAATGGTTTATATAAAAGCCGTTTCCAAAGCTTAAAATCCTACCAGGATGCTTTCATCTCCTAATTCAAGTATTTCAGTCTCATATTTCTCCCCTAAATGGTGTGAGCATCACATCATACCTTTGTCTGAGCGTTTCACCTGACTGAAAGCCAGCCTTGTGTTAGTCTCAGCAGACTCGCTTTCTGTAACAGAACCTGATAAAGCACAGTGCCAGTGCTCTATAGTTAGGGCCGATGCTGCAGAGGGAACAATCTCCAGCTACTTTTTACCGTAACGATTTGTCTTTAAACTACATTTGCAACATCCCTCCACAACTACCATTCTTTTTGCTGGTGGCAGCAGATTTGAGAGCCAAATCGTTTGCTCTTCCAGCAACTACTGGTATTTTAAGCAACTCTTTCTTGGGAGGGGACGGGAGGGTGCAGGGCAAAGTGCTACCAGTTGCCTGCTTGCTTTAATAAGCACTCTCTGCAGTGTGGATAAACTTCGTATTGTTGCCACCAGTGATTTAAGTTTTCTAATGCAGATCACATTCTTTTCATCTGGAACTAATCTGGGAACTTGAGCGAGCACGCATCCTGCTGCCAGCACTCAGCTCCATCCCGGGGAAGGCTTCACCCTGCACCACAGCATCTTGCACTAAACACAGCACCTCAGCGGCACCCGCTGCCCAGTGTGAGGGCTTCCAGCGGGGTGACCAGCAGTGGGCAACACCACTCCTTCCCCACCCACCTGCCCTCGCCTCGCTGCTCCCCTTCACACCCAGGGGAAGTTCTGTGGGAGAGCCCAAACTTTTGGGGGGCACGAGGAGCCACCCAGAGGCATGCAAAAGCGCAAGAACACACACATGCAGGCATGCACGCACAGAGGCATGCAAATGGAGGCGTGTACACACATACATGCAAGCACGTACAGCTGCAGGCATATCCAAGAGCATGGTATGGCTCCAAGTACACGTACACATGCAAGCACACACAGCTGCAAGCATGCATGGCTGCAAGCACATGCAAACAAGCATGGTATGGCTCTGAATACACACGTGCCTGCAAGCACACGTGCATGCCTGCAAGCACACACATGCAGACACACAGGTATGGCTGCAAACACATGCATGCAAGCAAATACACATGCATGCCTGCAAACACACACATGCAAACACGCAGGTATGGCTGCAGTCACACGCATGCACGCAAGCACCTACAAACGCACGGCCACATGCAAGCACTGCTGCAAGCACACACATGCCGGCATGCAACACCGCAAGCACACCCCCCCATACAACCCACTCAGGGGTGCGAGCACACAGACACAACCACGCAGCGCAACAAGCATGCACCGCTGCATGCACGCGCGGCGAGGCGGCGGCGAGCACACGCCCTCATGCAAGCACCGGGCGCTGCAACCACGCGTGCATGCAAGCAGCATGCACGTGCAGCGAGCACGCGCACGCGTGCAAGGCATGCACGGCTGCAAACGCGCGAGGCTGCACGGCATGCAGGGCTGCAAGGCATGCACGCGCGCACCGCCCCCAGCGCGCGCCGTGTGGAGAAGGCGGGAGAGGGGGGCGCGGGGGGGGGGGGGGAGGGGGGGGGGGGCGCCTGCGCGCGCGCTGCCTGAGGGGGCCCGGCCGGGCGCTGAGGGGAGCCGGGAACCGGGCCCACCCCCACCCCTCCCCCCCGTGACTTACCGGGGGCTGGGGAAGGAGCCGGGGCTGGGGGCTGGGGGCCGCCGCCGCCTCCTCCTCCTCCTCCTGAGCTCAGAGGCGGGGGCGCGGCCGCGGCGGAGGGGAGGGGAGGGGGGTGGGGAGGGGAGGAGGGAAGGGGGGGGGGAGGGGGGGACGCGGCGGCGGCGGCGGCGGCGGCAGCGGCGGCGGCTCCGGGGCCGCCAGGCGGGGGAAGGCGGGAGGGCGCATGCGCGGTGCGGGCCAAAGGCTGCACAATGCCGCTCTCTCCCGGGAGCGCTACGGAGGGGCCCGAGGGCCAAAAAGGGGCGGGGAGCGCCTTAAAGGGACAGGCGCCGCCTTCCCTAAGGGGGGGGGAGGAATTCAGCGCTCACCCCCACAGTGAGGGTGGGGTGGGAGCGCTGCGTGAGGCTCCCTGGTTGTGAAAATCGCCTGATTTTAGCCCGTTAAGGCTCGGTAGCGCACTCAGGCACGCATCAGTGGGTTTGTTTTGTGCCGCTGGGGCTGCGCAGCCCGGTTTTGGCCCCAAAAAAATAAAGAGAGGGAAAAGGAAGAGCCACGCGTCGCTGACCAGCCCAAAAAGGTCCTCGGGCTCCAAAAATCCGAGTGGCAGCTGGGAAAGGAAAAAATAAAAAGGAAAAAAAAATAAAGCTGTGGTGCAGCACAGCCAAGGCCCAGCTCCTTCCTTCCCCCAGCCTGGAAACCCACAGCCACAGGCTGGGCATCGATCCCTGCCCTGCAGGAAAAAGGGAGGGAAAAATCAAAAAAATCGTGTTACAAACACAAATCATAACCCTAAACAACCCCTTCGCCTCTGAGGGTCCTGGATTTTTCTTTTCACACATTCAAAGCTTCATAAACCTGATTTGGCCAAGTACTCGGTCGCACCTTAGATTGTGTTTTTTTGACAGAAAAAGGCAGCCCCACGTGCATATTTCTTCGGGACTGCAAAATGTGCGCACCAGGGGATTTGCATGGACAGCCCATGAAATTTAGCTTGTTGGTTGTGAATCATCCGCCAGGGTCCTTCTCGCTCCGCAGGCCTCGCTGCCACAGCTGGGATCAGCAGGATGTGATCTCTGTCCAAATTCCCTCTCTGTAAAAGACTGGGCCTTGGCAGGCTTCTCTCTCACAAAGTCTTTCATTCCATTTGGTTCCCAATAGCCTGAACTTGGTGACCTGCCAAGTACACTGGAAAAGACACCTGTCTGTGTTTTGTTTTTTTTTTGCTCTTGTATTTTATTTTATTTTTTTTCAGGGGGGAGAAGCTTCCCATCATGATGAAAAAGCAGAAATTTCCACAAGTGGCTCAGATGGTAGGGAAATGACTGCTTTCAGCGAGGCTGTGATTCCTCTGGATGGCTTTAAGTGTGTCAGGAACAGATCTGCGGCCATGGATCCTGCTAAGACTAACGTGTACAATTTTGTCACAGGTTCCACCGAGACGAGAACTGATCCAATCCTGCAGATTTCATCCAAAGGACATTAATGCTTGTGGAAAAGCTCTCACTAACTTCAGCACATGCTGGATCTGCTCTTTAGACGTGACGGCTGCAACCAAGCACATGCTGACGTTTGCAATGGTGAGTAATAAGGCAATAAGCTTACGAGCTATGCAAGTCTATGTTTATGTTTTGGCACAATGAGCAGTCTCTGTTAGGACTTCTATTTACTTGGGCCACTCAGACAGCAAACAGAAGGAACACAGAGCAGACGTACTGCATGTTTCACACTGTTCAAGAAACAGAGGGAGCAAGAACTCATGAGAGACCTGCTGCTTCTTTTAGGCTCTTAAGGAGCAGCTGATGCCTGACATATAGCTGTTTCTGTGCGGTTGCTAATATGCTGCTCTGTTTTTTTTTCTAGATCCCAGATACATCGTATTCATATGTTTCTTCTGGGATTTAAAAACAAACACTGAACCTTTTCCAGGCTGATATTTCTACCTCCCCCACTACAGTATGAACCTTACTTGCATTACTGCCAACATTTGTTCATTTAAAACTAGGAAAACTTACCCCAGTGGAAAGCAGCAAGGATTTGATTCATTCTGCCCTGGGAGGGATGTGTATACTTAGCCTGGGCACAAGGGCCCAATGGATGTTGAAGAACTCAAAGTAAGAGTGTTTTATCGAACACTGCGTGTATAGAAGTCCATGTCAGGGAAGCCCTGCAAAGAAGCAGTCCATGTTTTTGCAGGAGAAACATGGACTTCATTCAGGATTAGCATCCTGCAGTATCGTTCAATGCAGATTCCCCCCCAGTGCAAATCACAGCCAAGTTGATGCACAAGGGCTGCTGATTTGAGGGCCCCGGACTGAATCACACACGGTCTGATTGCCAGGCGTGATGACAGCCTCTCTCTCCTGGCCTCTTCAACTGGAGCAGCAGGTTCTCAGCACTTCTGTGAATCAGAACTTTGTTCTTGACTGGTGCAAATGGTTGCAACTCCAGTGACTGGATGGCTCAATACACCTAGCTCATTATTCCCTGGGATAATTTCAGTAAAATGTATGTATCTTTGTCATTGAGATGTTTGAAAGTGTTACTGTTGTCTTAGAGCTTCTCTTTACTGTTTTTCCAGTCTGTATGAGGGCAGAATGAAAAGTAAGAAAATACACAGAAATACGTTAGGGCTTTAGTCAACTGAAATCTAGCGTGTTCTGGGATCTGTTAGTTTAAACTGCCAACTCAGTAGCACACACCATTCACAGGCTTGCTTTCCTGTGCAAACCACTGTGTTAACAGCAGGTGCTAGGTCTCTACATCACCCTGATGTGTAACAAAACCATTTAGATGCAGCTAATTTCCAAATAAACATATTTACTGTGGCCGAAGCTACATAGCCATATTAGCTGAACATTTTCTCTTAACTTCTCAGATTCTTTTGGTCACATCCCTTTTTTTTCTTTTCCTTCCACAACAGTTTATACCGTTGCTCTGCTTCCTTCCATAAAAATAAAAGTGTCTTGGCTCACTGTGTCCCAGCATCCAGCTCCTGCAAGTAGAGCTTCTTGCTACATCCTGATAAAAGATACAGAGATCAGAGCATTTTGCAGGCTTTTCATGCCTTTCCTCTCCTCTGCGGAGGAAGCTGTTCATCTTTGTTTCTTTGTTCTGAGAACTGCCAGTCTAGAAGGACACTATTAAAATCCACTTCAGACTCTCTATTGGATATTGGCTGTCTCCAGAACAGCATTTAGAGCATAATCAAAGCTTATATTTGCAGATGAACACTTAAAAGATCCGTCGGATCTTAGACTGCTCAATTCCTTCCTGTCCTCTGATCAGTTATCATAGTGCTGTGCTTTTTGGGGCTTGTAGATGTACTGGCTCATGGGTTCTCTGTTCAGAGTCTCTGCATACCTCTCTCCGGATGAAGAGTGAACACTGAAAAGTCAAAAGTCCTGTAGACACTGACACCTTCCCAGCAGTGAGTAGCAAGGGTGGCCTCACCAGTTGGTGTGGCCAGGCTCACAGAACTACAAAAAATGAGTCAGAAGAGCTGCATCCAAGTTCTTGCTCGGCTAACGATTCTCTGCATCATCATATTCTCTCTCAGCTTCCCCAGCTGAAAAACAGAGCTCATAATATTTGATTTACCTACATAAGCTGTTAGGAGGATTATTGCATTGTTGTGAATTCCACAGATGAAAGGTAATACAGAAGAACAAACTGTAATTATTGTTTCAAACCTCTGCCCTAGACCTGTCACCCTTACCTTACTGGAATAATGCTTACTCAGTCGAGGAAATTCTGCTGCTATGGTGAAGAAAATCATGAGTGAAGATGACTCTCTTTTGCAATAAGAACACTTATCCCCTAGCGTTCAACACCCTTCTCTTTGCCAGTGGGATGACTGGAGTCACTCATATAATCTCAGTCACTCAGTGCACACTTATGCAATACGCTGTTTGGACACTGTTGTTTCTTTATCCCAAACAGGACTGTAGTTGAATAAATTCTCTTTTTGTAGTGGCTAACGATGTCCACTCGAGAGGTAGCAGCTCCTGGTAATAGGATTTTCCCTGAGTCCATTGATAGGTGAAGGCTCTTGGAGACTGTGGTGGCTGATGGCTGACAAAATGGTCAGAATGGCCAAATTTGCTGCCTTAAGGCATGTGGAGCCCCCATCAGCCTTTCACATGCACGCAGATGCACAGTGTGCCTGCGGATGTGCCCGGAGATGGAAGACAGAACTCACTGATGGAGTAAATACTCAAAACATTTCAGCAGCCTTCTCCGCTTGTAATCTGTTTGCAATTTGTATAAGGAGCTTCCTTGCTGTAGGAAACTACGGTTTTGATGGTGAAACGGGCACTGAATGGTGATGTAGAGAATCAGAAGCTTACAGTTACAGCTTACACCTATGGTAAACATCAGGAAAATTGGTGCCCAACGTTAGTCTTCTCAGCAGTCCCCGAATACTATTAAATACTGTTGAGTGCAATTATGCAAGGCACTGCGTGTGGTCAGTTCTCATAAAACTCAACAGTTCCACAGAGATAAGTATCTTTTCTGATTCTGCCCACCCTTGTTTCCTAAAGACTCAAGTCCTCCCCTTGACAATGAGAGCATAGAAGCAAAGTGTCAGTGCTCGCCAGCCCTGCAAACCACTGTGTTCTTACACAAATAAGTTTTTCTTGTCAAAACCTATGCACAAAGCTTCCTAGAAGGGTGTACATATCACTGCACATTAAGGGTTAAAAGTAGTGCAAGGGCAAGGAGTAAATACACTGCTGGTGTTGGTTAACAAGGTACTAATTGGGTAACTGGAGGTGCATCTTAAAAGACCACAGAGGTTAATCAAAAGGCTTTGGGTGAATCCAGGGTGCTCCTTTGAGCTTAGGGAGCAGGTGATATAGCAAAGGCAAAAAAAGCTACTGCTATAATCTTGTATTTCATGGTAAAAGTCAGAAGTAAGGTATCTTTGCAGAGAGAGGTTGTTAGATACTATGTATAAAGCTAGTATGACAGAATTGGTTCTGAAGCTAATTTAGTGATGGCAACCATCTCTTCCTCAGTCTATGTGCTCTTATTTGGGGCTAAGTTCCCTGTGCTTGAATCATTCTGATATGATTTCACTATATCTCACTGTACTGGGGCTTATTCAAAATGAGTCAGCACGTACCTGCTTGGCTGACCAGGTATCTGAATTTACTGCCTTACTAAGGGTCCCTAAAATATGTTTGTTTTCCCCTTCTGTTGGAGGATGTGACTGAGTTCTTCAAGCACAAGTTTGCAGACCTCCAGGTAGGTGTGTGAGGGACTTGGGTGTTGCAGCTTGAAAGCTGATAGCTGTGAGATCTCAGGGGACGGTTTCCCATGTGAGCTGTTTTGCCCGCTCTGGTTGATGCATAATGAACATAACAATTTGGGATGAAATTATCTGATGACCCCCTGTGTGAGATAAAGGAGTATAAGGTGTATAAAGCACTATGGGTGCAGAGAGCACTGAAATGGCTTTTAGGGACAAAAAGGTCAGCTTGCAGGTGCCTGTGGTAGGGGGGATCCCGAGTCACACACAAACCCCATGTAGGGTTTTGCTTTTTGCGTGGATGCAACTTAGAAACTCTCTCAAAGAGTAGTTCTGTCCAAGAGAGGTATGGTTGTGACACTTTTCTAGTTCCTGAGTTTGCATCAGATTTGAAATGGAGTGAAAAATGCACTTTTCTATGGATTTGGTTAAGGTATGTGCACAGCTCTGCTTTCGTTCTGAGGCAACCACAAGTCTGGCTAAGTGGAATTTTCCTAAGCATCTGTCCTCTTGCCTGTGCAACAATCAGCCTTTGGGTTGTATCGGGCTGTCTGAGAAATCTCAGTTCCATTGGTCACATTTTTCAAAAGCTAATCTGCTGGAAGTAAGGTCTTGCAGTGAAAGTGCCTCCACCTTATGCTTACAATCAAGTGACTTATTAATTGGCATCACCACACGGCTGTCCGTGTAACAGGCAGCGTGGCAGCCTCTGCTGGCATATGTGGCCACAGCGAAATCCCATAACTAGCTCTTATTTCACGTTGGCTCTCACATTTCCTCTGGATTCATTTATTTTCCAACCGATTTCTGTTTGTGCTGCAGGGACTGACTCCTAGTTTGGTGTACAACAGCATCTTTTAACTTTTTTTCTTCTGTTTGCATTCGTAGATTGGCTTCGGGACGCGGGCTGCAGGTCTTTATGGCTTGGAAGCGTTTAACAGCGTTCCCGTTTGCTCTTGTGGTGGGTGGGTGTAAAATCCTTACTACTGATGGTAAACATTAAGAGATTTTGCGCTTGTTTTCAGCAGCTGACCGTGCGGTGGAACTCACTAAGCACACCACACGGGGTTGGGGGCTCTCTGGACGGATTTTTGGGGTGATTTCCCCCTACAACTCGCTCTGGCCGCCTGCTATTTTTATTGCGGCTCGCATTTTAGTCGTTGCGTAACCGAGAGGAGCGCGCATTACCCAACGCAAACCGCGAGTTCAGCAAAGCACGGGCCCAAGCAAAAAGAAGCACGGGCCGAGGAGAAAAAAAAAAAAATAATAATAAATAAATAAATAAAAATAAAATCCCAACAAGCACGGGCCAGCTCCGGCTACCAGCTTAACCCCATCCCAAGGAGCAAGCAGCTGCCCGCGGGGTCCCCAGCTCCCCATCCCCGAGCTCTGCGCCCCCTCGGGGACCCCAAACCCCCCGGCAGGACGTCGGGGACCCCCCCTTGTCCCCCCCTTTTCCCCCCCCAGCCGCCCCCGCTCCTTCCCCCGCCGGGGCCGCGCCGCTCCCCGGCCGCTGCCGCCGCCGCCGCTCCGGGGGGAGCCCGGGGGGGGGACCGGGGAGCCGGGGGGGGCCCTGCCGGCTCCTGGGACTTGTAGTCCGGGGGGGTGGCCACCGCCTGCAGCCCTGCCCGGCCGGGACTACCGGCCCCACATGGCCTTGCGCCCTGGCGCATGAGCTCTCGGGCGCTGGAGCGCATCTATTCTACTGCCTTGGCGAGGATAAAAAGAAGAGCAACTGGAGGGGGACTGTAAGGCAAACGGTGCTGGAGCCGCCGGGGCAAAGTAATCTGGTTTAATCTTTCCCTTTTTCTTTCTCGGGTGCTGGGGGGCGAGGCGGTGCTGGCACCGGGTTCTGGAGGGAGAGGGGTTGGGGAGAGGGGAGGGGGACCGGGGAAGAAGCGAGGGAAGGCAAAAACCCACTTGGGAAAGGCCAACGCTGATTTATTATTCTTATTATTTTTTTTTTATCGTTTGTTTGTTTATTTATTTATTTTGTTTGTTTTGCCCTCCCCTTTTTCCCTTCCCCCCTCCTTCTTCTTGCGGGAGCCCCCATGCGCCGCTCCCCGCGGCCCCGCAGCCTTTGTGCGCCGCCACAATGCAACAAAGCGCGGCGGGCTGGGCACAGCCTGCCCATTGATTTCCTCCCGGCCCCGCCGCTCCTGCCCACCCTTTTCTTCTGCTTCTTCTCTTGCTGCTGCTGCTGCTTCTTCTCCTTCTTCTGCTCCTCCTCGCCCAGCGCCCCCAAAGCGACCGGGCGGCCGCGGGGGTTGCGCGCCCCGGCCCCTGCCCCGCGCCCCCCGCGCAGGAGGGGTTTAGGAGGGATTTGCTTTCTTTTCTTCCTTTCCTCTTTTTTTTTTTTTTTTTTTCTTCTCTTCCTCCTTCCCCTCCTTCTTCCCCCCCTCTCTCGCTCGCTCTCCCTCGCTCGCTTTCTCTCTCTGCCCGCCATCTTTTGAAGGGGGAAAAAAAAAAAATAAAAAAATTAGGGGCGAGGGAAAGGAAGGCGGCGGGCGCTCTTAGGGAAAAGAGGAAAAAAAAAGTGGGGGGGAAAAAGGAAAGAGAAAAGGAGAAAAAAAAAAAGGTGGGGGAAGAGACAAGGGAATAGAGCAGGAGCAAGCAGCTTGGGGCAGCTCCGCAGGCGCGCAGGGGGTGCGGAGAGGGGCCGGGCAGCTCCTGGGAGGGTGCTGGTGTGGGTATGGGTGCATGTGTGAGTGTGTTTGTGTGTGTGTTTGTGTGTGTGTGTGCAGCTGCTGGCCCTGTGCAGGTAGCTGGCGTCCTCGGGACTTTGGCAAATCAAGGGGAAGCGTGGGTTTGTTGTCCAAACTTTCCGCGCTTTGAAGGCGCAGAAAAGATTGCCTGCAGATTGCCTGCTCGGTGTCACGCGAGGAGCAACGCCACCGGTAATAAAACATCAAACTTCCAAACAGCCTGGCTTTCCCTCCGTTTATACGACTTCTCAGCTTTCGCACCTCCGC